AAACCCTATTGTCCCTTGGGGTGTCAGGTCGGCATGCCCGGAGACAAGTACCTCGTCACCTTCAGGCTCGGGCCAGGAGTTCGGGGTTGGCGACTGCTAAGGAAGTTGCGGTAGCTGCTTGAAGGGGAGCCTGATTTCTCAAGAGTGTTACGCGCAACCGAAAAAACCTAAACCCTAAACCCTAAACCCTAAACCCTAAACCCTAAACCCTAAACCCTAAACCCTAAACCCTAAACCCTAAACCCTAAACCCTAAACCCTAAACCCTAAACCCTAAACCCTAAACCCTAAACCCTAAACCCTAAACCCTAGCTGTGCGGCGCCTTGGGAAGCTTTTTGGAAAGCTTTCGGGGCAACTCTAATTTGAGTGGACATACGGAGTAGAAATCCACCTGATGCACTGCCTTACTCGCATTATTCTCTTTGCGGTTTAAGGTTTAGGGTTTAGGGTTTAGGGTTTAGGGTTTAGGGTGTAGCTTAGACCACACCCCTCACACCCTCAGCCCCAAAAGGCTTCTGAGCCCTCAGATGTCAGAGGCCTCCCAACACCCCCCCTTAAAAGGCCACAGTCGGCCACAACCAACTTCCGCCCCAAACCTGCCACACAGGTTTGTTTATAAATGTCCTTCAGTAAGAAGCTCTGTTGCAGCTATGTTGCACTTCCCTACTCTAGTCTGCCAACAAAAGCAAAGAGTTTGCACGCAAGCCCGAGCCGCGACGAAAATGCCACAAGAATCACAACCTAAGATGCCACAAAAGGTGCCATCATTGCCACACCATTCAGCTCCAACCCCCCCCCCCCCCCCCCCAAAAAAAAAAAACACACACACACACACAAAGGCTCCAAAACAGGGCTGACATAACTCCCAACCCGCACCCAAACCCCCAAAAGAATCCCAATCATGGCCCACAAGAAGCCTCCAGGAAGACCCAAAAAAGGCCTACATAACACCGCAACGCATTTCCGAATAAAAACACAGCCCTTGTTGAGGGTTTAGGGTTTAGGGTTTAGGGGACAAGTAGACTGGCGACGCAACGGATTCCTGCCTGTTATAGCCTAAGCCCTGAACCCTAAAACCTAAACCCTAAACCCTATACCCTATAAACCCCTAACCCTTCAACCCGAAGAGATGTTCGCCCTTGGGGTTTGCAGGGGGCTGGCAGGTGGGAGAAGCTGAAAGAGATCACTTGGGAGAAGCTTGCCGATGCGAAGGGGGAAGTCACGCCAGGAGCGAGTTCGAGGGGTTTGGGGGGTGTTAATTGGGTTTGGAGGTTTAGGGGCTTAGTGGTATAAAGCCCAAAGGGTTGAGGGGTTTTGTGGACGTGCCAGGACTGAGGCTCAATTCTGCAGAGCTTTGCTCGGGTGTTCGAGTACAGGTTTTAGACGTTTCAGGAAAGCTTGGCATGAATAGTTTTAGGGACTTTTGAGGGGAACCTAAACCCGAAACCCTAAACCCGAAACCCTAAACCCTGAACCTTGAAAAAAACCCAAGGGTGTATGAGCCCTTAGGATCTAGATGCCAAGGTTCTCACTCGCACTTAGGTTGAGACATTCTCCGGACCTGCATGCGCTTCAGGGGAGTCTACGGGGCCTCAAGGTTTAGGGCTTAGGGTTTAGGGTAGAGCTAGGCTTTAGGTTTCTCGGCCTTAGGGCTTTAGGGCTTTTTGTCGGAGATTTGGAAGGGCCATTTCCTTCAGAGCCGGCGCTCACCCCGAAGCCAAAACGGTCTGGCGCCCTGATGGGTAACTGTATAAGACCCTGTAGCCCTTTAACCCTAAGCCCTAAGGGCTGAGGGTTGTTCAGGGCTTCCCCTTAAGTGCCCTAAGATGGTTATAAGTACAGTTGCATGTACAGTTGTAATTGGCTAATAAGTACCATGAACCTCAAAGTATTTTAAGGATGCTCTGCAGGGGCCCTTAGCAGGGAACCTCGCCACCCTCCACTGAAAAAAGAAGTATGACATTCAAGAACATGTAAGTGTATGCATACACACCTTTACTTCGGTTTTCTGCTTTTGTTGGTTTGTGGGGCTTATGGTTTAGGGTTTTATGTTCAGAGAAGATTTTTTTAAACTTTGTAGATATGCATAATTATGGTGGCATCCTTTTTATGGTATTTCTGTTTCTTGTTGCACGAGTTGTGCAACATACCCTATAGACCCGAAGCCTAAGTAGCCCCCGCGGTCGCCTGGACATATTGCCTATAGGCCTTGGCTTTAGGCCTTGGCTTTAGGGTTTAGGGTTTAGGGTTTAGGGTTTAGAGTTTAGGGTTTAGGGTTTAGGGTTTAGGGTTTAGGGTTGGCATGCGGAAGGAACGTACTACCTCGCTGGACCCTTCAGCGACTGGGAGTGCGTCTGGCCCTCGCGGGCACTGTAGAGGCTTTAGGGTGTGAAGTTTAGGGTTTAGGGTTTAGGGTTTAGGGTTTAGGGTTTAGGGTTTAGGGTTTAGGGCTTCGGGTAGTGCATGGCTCTTGCAGTTTCACGGGTACTTATAGGTAGAGTTTAAGTACCCTGAAAAAGGTTTGAACCGCAGTTACCCCCTACTTATACCCACGAAACTCCAAGTAGGGTAGCTTAGGGTAGTTTAGGGTTTAGGGTTTAGGGTTTAGAGTTCAGGGTTTAGGGTTTAGGGTTTAGGGTTAGGGTTTAGGGTTTAGGGTTTAGGGTTTAGGGTTTAGGGTTTAGGGTTAAGGGTTAAGGGTTAAGGGTTTAGGGTTTAGGGTTTAGGGTTTAGGGTTCGGTAGGGGATAAGCGTTTTGGACCGGCATGATGCTGCTTGGGATTCTTGGGAGTCAGGAATTAGGGCAACTTGGGGGTTTAGGATTTGATTCTAGGGTTTAGGGTTTAGGGTTTAGGGTTTAGGGTTTAGGGTTTAGGGTTTTCGGGAAGTTTATGGTTTAGGGGTTTAACCGGTACTGCTTGGGGTGTTTCGGTTTTTGGGGGGCTTGGGGCGCTTATCTGCCTTAGCCAGGGTTGAACCCCAAACCCCAAACCCTAAACCCTAAACCCCAGGCCCTAAACCCTAAACCCTAAACCCTAACCCCTAAACCCTAAACCCGAAACCGGTTCCTCCGAAATCCCCACAGCCTTCCCGCCTCGCACCCGCTCTGAAGCCACGTGAGGTCGAGATGGCGCCAGACACCAGCGGAATTCGGAGGCAGAGGGTTCGGTTTAGGGTTTTTGGGTTTAGAGTTTAGGGTTCAGGGTTCAGGGTTCAGGGTTCAGGGTTCAGGGCCTAGGGCCTATATAGGGTTTAGGGTTTAGGGTTTAGGGTTTAGGGTCTAGGGTCTAGGGTTTAGGGTCAAGGGCTTCGAGCCTTAGGGACGATGGCTGTCACCATGAGCCCTCTTGGCCTTTGGCCCCAGATGGCGATGTGTTGTTTTGATGAGACTACGTTCCTGGTGTTTTTGTTACGGGCATGAATCCTACCCCTGGCGAAAGTCTTTTGACCAGGGCGTTGGGGTGGTCCCTAAATCCTAAGTACCCTACCCTATATACCTACCCGAATATACACCCCAAACCCTAAACCCGAAACCCTAAACCCTAAACCCTAAAACCCCAAACCCTAAACCCTAAACCCCTTTCCCTACTGTTGTGCTGAGGCGGCGTCAGGGCTGGTACAGCACCGAGGCTGGAGCCAGTTTAGCCGCAGGGGGTTGGTTTAGGGTTTAGGGTTTAGGGTTCAGGGTTTAGGGTTTAGGGTTCAGGGTTTAGGGTTCAGGGTTTAGGGTTTTGGGTTCAGGGTTTAGGGTTTAGGATTTAGGGTTCTAAAGGTTTCCCCCAAGATTTGGAAGGGTGGAGTTTGGGGCTTCGGGTGTGTAGGGTTTAGGGTTTAGGGGCCCTAGGTGCTAAACCCTAAGCCTTTGAGGGTCGAGGGTTCCGAGCTACTTCCAGGTGGGCTTGGTGCTTGGGAGATGCAGAAACCTCAAAACCTTCCACTGTACACTCTACACCCTAAGCTTTAAACCCTAAACCCGAGTCCCTAAACCCTGAACCCGAAACCCTAAACCCTAAACCCTAAGCCCCCCTTCGTCTTCACCCTAAAAGCCCTGAAGGTCCGGGCTCCAGCGGTGCAGAATTCCCTCAACCCAAGGTAAGGTAAGGTAAGGTGATCCAAATCAACTGGACCTCGATCTCCGTAGGCAAGGAGTGTGCAGTTGACACATGCCAGTCACCAAGCAACACGCTTCGATGGCTGAGCATGTCATGCTGGCAGCGACATAACACGGGTCTTTCACCGGTTACCGTTTGCACAGCACGAGCGACCAGAGCACAATCAACCTTTTCAAAGTGCAGACATGAAGACAGCTCGTAAGCAACTGCCTACAAACTCCTGGGATGCTCGCCATGTGGTGGGGTCCCCAAACAATGCTCGTAGGAACTCACATGAGCGCTCCACTGTTGAAGCGGTTACAGGGATGTGTTGTAGCAGTCGCTGCAGAGGTTCCCTCGAGGACGGACATCTCCCCAGCATATGAAATACTGATGCTTCTGGCAAGTTGCAGGCCGGGCATGTGATGTGCCTGGGCAATTCTGAAATCCCTAACAAGGGCAAAGGCCACCTGCCAGAGATTCGAACAATGCTCCAGGCTCTATAGTTAAACCACGCCTCCTTTACAGAGCAACTGTCAAAGAGTTCCCACTGCAGTGGCACGACATAAAAGTCCAGCTCAAACAGAGAAAAACCAAAAGCCGGGATGTACTCGTGAGTGCAACTGACAAGGTGCATACGATCATACTCTTGTAGTAACGGCTTGACTGTGTTGCGGCGGTATGTTTGCAAGATTTGTTTGCGCAAAGCTCGGTCACGTCGGGCTTCATGAATCTGCGCAGCAGAGCAAACACCAGAATTTTCCAGGTCTGGAATTGGGCGGGGAAGTCCACTTTGATGCAACAAGTCACGCGCTTGTGAAAACCACGTCCTACAGGGTAGCTCGACGAGCAAGAGCACCAAGCGTGCAGTTGGATGCTCTTCTGGCAACAGCTGCACTCGTGCCAGGGTCAAAGCGACTTCAAGAAGCAAACAGCTTCCCAAACGTAGATCCCAACCACACTGTGCGAATACAAGGTGTTGACGGAGTTCTCTTTGATACCTGCAACCCAGGATAGCCTTCCCCCAACGCCATTGAAGCTGATTCAGTTTGCTGAGAACACCTGCTACTCCTACAAGGAAAGGTGCAGCATGCAAGACTACGGGGTGCAATCGGATCTGAACCTGGGAAGACAACACAGGCACTGAGAAGCCACCTGTTTCAGCCGTGTGGAAGAGATCAACAAACATGGACCATCCTCTTGCCAACGACTGCGACAGAAGCGGCAAGAACGTCAGTTGGCTGTCAAACAAGACACCAAGAATGTGCTTTTGGTCAACAACGTCGCAGTCCAAAGCTTCGTGATCAAGTGGAGGGCTGTTGAGAAGAGCCATGGCACAGGTTTTGTTTTTACCATAGTTGAACTGCGCCTTGGTGCGCGCAGCATAACGCGAATACGCAGAAGCGCCACCCTTATTTACTATGGCTCTCACAGCGCCCGGCGATGAACAAGGCACGGTGGCATCATCGACATATTGCAGTGGCCCAAGAGAAAAACTCCCTATGGCATCAAGGAGAGCACACTTGTCTGCATAGCTTCCTAGTGAATTAATCATTGTTTGCAATTCGGCTGAAGCTTGCGTTGGCGCATTTGCCATCAGCTCCTGCAATCTGCTTACGCATGGCTCTAAAGCATCCACAGGCGAAGGTCTGGAATAAAAGTCCACATGTGAGGCCTCCAAGTCGACATGCGCCAAGGCCCGAATAGCATACTTGGGAAGCCAGGCGCTTGTATTCGCTGCAGTGACTTGTTGGATTTCGTCTCTGAGCCAGCTTAAGAGGCTGTTGAAAACGTGAACGCTAAAGCGTCTTCCTTGAGCAATGCCGCAACCCAGCCTGAAAACATGAGAAAGAAAACCGTGAAGTTGAACGTATTGCCGATCCGAATCAAGGACATCATCCAGTAGCAGCCAATCCGTGCCCCGCACTCCTGCCTGGAAACAGGCCAGCTTCATGCTACTAAGACGTGCAACATCAAAGGCCCACCGGAGGTCCAAGATGGCCAAATAGAGAGGCAAGCCCTGGTAATCACGCGCTTGCGCAAGCAAAAGTATGGCTAATAGTAAGAGGTTGGTTGCTGAAACACCTCCGACTTGGTTTGGCCCCGCAAACGACTCTAGTTTCGAGCGGTTGCGGGCCAGCCATAGCCCATCAATGACGTGCGCCATATCAGCGACCAAGGAAATGGGACGTAAGCACTGCACTTTACGCACAATTTTGGCTCCCGATTTGCGAATGTGAGCGAATTGCCGAAGTGACCACAAAGTAGAGGTCAAACCTATGTGACGGCTAAGGTTTGCAAGTCCCAACACAACTTTCCTGTGCGAGCTCTGAGATGATTTGAGTAAAGAGAAGCAGCCGTGCAAGCACTTCTTGGAAGAGTGGCACTTCTGCAGCACATCATCTAACTCCTCAAGGGTGTAGAAAGAATCCTGGATAGGTTCCGACCATGAATCATTATGCAAGTCAAAGCCTCCACGGCTTCTGACGTCACTGACCAACAAATCGGTTTCCTGGAGGCTGCGAGCGTCAGCAGGGAAATCATTTGATGCCCTCGACATCATATCTTCGACCAATAAATCCAACATTGCCTCGTGGGATAAAGGTTCGCCGCTTGATTCGTCGAGCAAAGCAATTTGGAACTCGGACGCCTTATTAAAGAAAGATGACAGAAAACGTTCAGATTGCGCACGATCTTTTTGCCTCAGAAACGAATAAGTGTTTGCTGCACGGTTTTGTTCTCGAAGGGCTGCTTCCTTTACTGCCGCCTTGAACGCTGCATCTGAGGTGAAGTTGGAAGGAGACAGTGAAAGTGAGTCCCTGCATTTCAGCATATTACTCTTAACCCGGACCGCACCATGAAAATGTCCAACAAGCACCACCAGGAGGTCACGAGACCAAGCTGCAGAGTCCAGCACCGCTCGCCTTAGCTTCTTGGAGACGCCTCCTCCAAGCAAGGGAGATCTCATGTCGGTGCTTTGTAGCACCTCCTGTATCGCAACGCTCAAAGCTTCCAGAGCGGGAGCTATGCTTTCCAGAGCCTCATCCCATACTTCACCTGCCTGCCAGGATACTCTACCAATTGCATTGTTGTAAAAACATGACAACGAGATTTTGCAAGAACACGTGACCAAGTGATGATCAGAAGCTCCTATTCTTTCGGACAGAACTCGCGCTGGCATGGCGACGCTCCGAGGGACCAGTATCAGGTCGATGGCTGTGCCACTTACATGCGTTGGGGCAAGAGGGTTGATGGCCCGCAACCCTGCTTGACCAATCATGTGCTCAATGCGTACGTCATTGGGTGGCTGTTTACAGTGTAAACAGCCACAACGAGCAGGGTGGTCTACCAGATATGAAAGGTGAATATTCCCATCTCCAAGCAAGAAAAAGTTTGCACGCGGAAACTTACGCGAAAGCAGCGCATAATCGCCAAGGAGCGTTGTCCAAGTCTGCACGTCTCCACCAGTGGCGCAATAGTAGCTGCAGCAAACGACGTCACTTGAGCTTGCTGCAGACGATGCTTGTATGCGAAGCCAAAAGATACGGTCAGAGCAAAACTCTTCCAGAACAATCACATTATCCAAAATGTCAGAGTCAACTAAGAACCCAGTTGTATCCCAAGAAACAGATCTAGTGCCCAGCCACGACATCGGAAAACCTTCAGGAAGTAAAGCTCCAGGTGGCAGTCGTGGTGATGGAAGCGCAAGGATGTGAATTCCGTTTTCTTGCATGGCTGCTGCAATGGCCCAAAGTCTCCAGTGGAGCAAGGCATCGGTTCCCAATTGTGCCAATCCACTGCGACCCGGGTTAAAAGTGCCTAACCCAATGCTATTAATCA